TTGTTTTTATTTTTATTATTTATAAGTCAATGGCGTTGGGATTTGTCCCTTTTCTTATTCATACTTTAAACAAAACAAAAAAAAGAAAAATTTATTTGAGTCTAATTTGAGGATTATAACCCGGGAAGACCATCTCAGAAAGCTGTGAGAACTGTTCTGCCCCTGGAAGTCAAGGTAGAGTTGTACAAGCTTTTTGAGACTGAAAGCTGCTCATCAAATGCTGCATTATTGACAGCTTACATAATCCACATCTAAGCATCATTTTGGTGGGTCATGTGGCCCCTTACAAGATCAAGAACGAATGTTACCTTTTAAGCAGTTGTCTTGTTGGTGCTGGGAGAACATTGCTCTTTATGGTTGAGCAGGTGTTTCTGCTGATGGAGGAAGTTTGCTCGATGCTAATGCAGATACACGGTGCACAAGCAGAAAAGAGAGGAGGCCAAAGGGGAGAGAGAGAAAAATCATTCTTAATTTGTTTTGTCTTGCCATGAAATGTGAATTTTATTTCACAGTTTCTCCTGTTGATCATCAATCTTTCAATAGAAAGCATTATGTGGTCAAATATTTGGCCCACTGAAGCTAGGGTGGCTGCTTGCCTTTCCCAGTGTGCATCATATCCCTCACTGCTGGGTACCAGTAGCCTGGTTCTCTCTGGTCGCTTACACTAGCAAAACATTAAGCAAGGGTTTATGGCCAATTCTAGGTAATCCAATAAGGGACTCAAGTCAGTTTCCTTGCATGTGCATTGCCCATTATTTTATAGGCCACATTAGAGGCGATCTACAGCTTCAAGTTGTTTAGACATCATTATCCTAGTACAAGCAGATGACACCCAGTGTAAAAGGCAAGAAACTACCACCTTATAATTCCACAAACTTTAACTTAAATTGGTATATCATTAGTAAAGATCTAATCCCCAAATCCTCCTGAATCAAACTGTTTTCCTAGTATCACCCCTACTGCAGAAAGAGGATGATTCAGAGCAGAAATCTCACTTTAAGGGTCATAAGATGAGTTAACAAGTATTGTGGCCCAGACCTTGCTAATTTCTGTTTGTTATTTACTCGTTTTTATAATTCCTTGCTCATTTCATTAAGCACTGGAATAAGAAAAGTCTGTTTTAACTCACTCTTTCCCAATCAACTTTTATAGCAACACAACAATGTAAGGCTTAGTATTGCTACTTTATAGTTCAGAGTTAAGTAACTTATCCAGCATTATATAGCTAGTAACTAACTAGCATTTCCTTGGTGGCTCAGACAATAAAGAATCCACCTGCAATGTGGGAGACCTGGGTTCAGTCCCTGGGTTGGGAAGATTCCCTGGAGAAGGGAATGGCTACGCACTCCAGTATTCTGGCCTGGAGAATTCCATAAATAGAGGAGCCTGGAAGGCTACAGTCCATGGGATTGCAAAGAGTCAGGCACAACTGAGTGACTTGCACAGGACAGGAACTAACTAGGCTGGAATTAAAAACCCCATCTGTCTGCTCTTTTAAGGAAATAATGGAATATAATAAAATTACAAATTTAAGATAAAGTTATAGATTTAATTTATTATACCTGGGTGCAAATATTTTGGAAAAAAGATATGGATCTAAGTGAATGGTGAAAAAAGTGAGGAGAGAATCAAGATGCCTAAGTTTGATTTCTTTCTATCTCTCAAAGCTGATGATGAATTTGGAAAAGATGATTCAACTTCCTGGGTTTTAGTTTTCTTGTGTGCAATAATAATATGGATGATGATGACAATAATGATGGTAATTTTCTTAGTCTGATGACTATTATTCACTTGTACCAGGCACAATGTGATAAGCTTTATAAGTAGCATGTCATCACATCTCAAAATAACTATCTGATATACATGTTCTATTTTATCAATGAAGATACTGCAAATTTCACAAATCCACTAAAGCCCATTTGATATAAGGGAACATGATATAAACCATTAGTTCTATTATCTTTCCAAACCAAGAAGTCTGACCTGAATGGTCTTTAAAATATCTACCAAATTTGAGATTATTGCGAGCTGTGGTAGGTATCAGAGGAAATGAGCATGCTCCTACATGACTCTCAGGTACAACCGGTAGAGTTCTGGACTGGATGGCCTTAAAGTAAATCTTAATATGATGATGTTTTTGCTTTATATGTTCATTTACACATTAAAAAAAAACACAGAATTTCTCTTAACCCATGAGTACTTAACTCTTCCTCTCCCTTTCCCACATACTTTTCTTTCTTAACAATTCAGTGCAAATGTCCTGAAGTGGAGATGGGTAATGTGAGCATCCACATGAATGTGGAAGATGAGCGCCGCAGCAGCCCATATGTTAGATACTGAGAGGAGTGAGATAGGCTGGCATGCAGGGCAAAGGGGTCGTGCGGGAGTGGCCCTGTGGAGTGGCAGAGCCCAAGAAAGGTGACAAGGGCACACCCTTACTGGGCCGGTCTAACAATAAGTATCAGAGTCTGAGAAGCCTGAAGAGGGTCCCATTGCCAAGAGGGGGTGGTAAAAGTAGAAACCTGTCCGCAGCAGCCCATATGTTAGATACTGAGAGGAGTGAGATAGGCAGGCATGCAGGGCAAAGGGGTCGTGCGGGAGTGGCCCTGTGGAGTGGCAGAGCCCAAGAAAGGTGACAAGGGCACACCCTTACTGGGCCGGTCTAACAATAAGTATCAGAGTCTGAGAAGCCTGAAGAGGGTCCCATTGCCAAGAGGGGGTGGTAAAAGTAGAAACCTGTGATCTGGTACTGGAGTCAAGCAAAGGACAGACTGAACCCCCACAATGAAAGGACAGTCCAGTGCGAGGTGTTAGATCCTACACAAGGATGGGAAAGCTACCCACTTTGGAATGTGACCACGTGCACAGTATCAGAGGTCAAGTGTAATGAAAGAGAGCATCTACACAGGAAAGAGACCCTGCGCAGGGTCAGAACCTGAGTGAGGTGAGGAGGCAAGAGACAGCTCAAAAGGGGTGTCAGAGCAGGGATGGGAGTAAAACTTGCAGCAGGTATCACAATCTGTACAGAGTGAGGAGGAGCTCCATAAAGGGGGGAAGTTGGTGACAATAATGGGCGATTGTTACATATAGAGAGATTCTACAAATGCATAAATACATTGAGAATAGTGGAAACCAGGGTTCTCACGGCTGGAATAGGAAGTTAAAAATATGGACAAGGGAAAAAAAAAAAACAACCTAGAACAAACCCACTATGAATCACCACAGACTCTCAATACATACACACGTGCATTTATTTATCTATCTATCTATATGTATATATGTGCATGTGTATGGGCTTCCCTGGTGGCTCAGTGGTAAAGCATCTACCTGTCAATGCAAGAAACATAGGTTTGATCCCTGGGTTGGGAAGATCCCCTGGTTAAGGACATGGCAACCCAAACCCACTCCATTACTCTTGCCTGGGAAATCCCATGGACAGAGGAGCCTGGCAGGCTACAGCCCATGGGGTTGCAAAAGAGTCTGGCATGACTAAACAACAATTCATGTATGTAAAAGTATACATATACATACTTACATGCATTCATATACATATAATATATAAAACCTACACACACACCCACACATGCACATATTGAAATGTTCTCAGAGCAAAAATACCTCAATGAGTACACTTAGTATCCAGATTATGGTTTCTAAATACCATTTTCTAATAAAAAGAATGAAGTTTTCTTAGGAAAAAAAGGCCACTTTGATGACTGTAACAGGAAAATTATAAGATGATTCTGAAATACTTTCTTGTACCAGAAAGTAAGGAAGATAACAAAGAATAACAGGCACATGTCAAAAAGATGAAGGAACCAGCTTGAATAGGCTCCTGCTGGCCAAATCAGTGAAACTTTGGGCATGAAAATTGTCATGAATTATAAGTTCCTTTATGCAATAATAAATAACTTACTTTATTTAATACAAAAATTCCTTAATAAAATAAGAACCTGTGGATTCACAGTGAAAGAGTAGATCATACTGATAGAAATATATAAATAAAAATTAAATTCTCAATAAGGAACAGTACATTTACATCATCTCAAAGTCCGTATAACCACAAAATGCTTACTAATTACAAGGGGAGGGGGAGGTAATTTCAGAGTGGGGAGGTCTCACAGGCAGTACCTTAACCAGTGATCAAAGTGAACTTCAGCAGAAATGAGACAAACAGAAGTCCTGCACCATCTGATAGGATTCGGTCTGAAGCACACAACATTCCTGAATCTAATTATAATTAAACAGTAGACACAGTGGAACACCCTTTGCGGGAGGGGAATGGAGGGACAGGAGGACAAGACAATGTGATCAGTATACTCTGGATGGTGGGGAGTGTTTTCTTTTCATGGTGATAATTTTTAAAAATAAGAGCCAGTTTTTACACTGCTTTAATTATCTTTAAACAAACAAAAAAATCTTTATAGACCCTTTTTATTACCCATATTTTCAGCATACAGCTTCTACAAGGACCCCTATCCTGTAGTCCCTTAGACAAGCCTAAATTGAGTGAAACCTAACCAAATCAGTGCCTTGTAATTTTAGAAGTTACCAGGTGAGGAAAATCAAGTGAAAACAGAAAGTGTTCAATTAATACCTTCAAGGAGACTAAAAAGAGAAAACAATAAATGAAATCTATGATTCTCTGCTGGATCTTTTTGCTATAAAGAATTTTATCAAGAAAAACAGAGAAAGGGGACTGATATTTAGATGCTAGCATTGAAACAATGTCAATTCCTTGATTTTGATCATTTTATTGTGTCCTTTATAAAAAATAGAAACTAATTCATTTAGGATAATGTGGCATGTTTGCAAAGCAACTCTTAAATGGTATAGGAAGAAAATTCTTTGAACCATTCTTGAAACTTTCCATATGTCTGAGATTGTTTCAAGATGAAATATTTTTAAAATTATCTATTTACTTGATGTCTAATACTGTTTGCATTTAAAACAAGGTCAAGTATTTTCCACGTGGTGTAATTTTTCTTTTCTTTTTCCAGGTGATGGTGGCTTGAGCCCTCCTATTTTTACCCAGGAACCAGAAGATGCTATTTTTCCTTTGGATTTGTCAAAAGCGGAAATAATTCTGAATTGTGCTGCTAATGGTTACCCGTCACCCCATTATAGGTAAATTTCTACTTCTGAGCACCATGCTGCTTTTTTGTTATTTTCCTTGTCTTCGGGGTAAAGTATACACACAATTTGTTGTTGTTGTTGGCTAAGTTGTGTCCAGCTCTTGTGAATCCATGGANGCTGTGTGCCCGCCACTCAAATGAAGACAGACATTTTTGGTACCCTAAAGTATCACCTCATGCCACTTGTCAAGTGATAATTATCCCATCCTCATCCTCCAGCAACCGCTCTTATAACTTACTGGTTAGATTTGCTTAGAGCAGTTATTCTTGAGCTTGGTTCTATGCAGTGCCATGTTACACGGAGAATTGAAAACAAATGAAAGATAAAGGAAAGAAGGGAAGGGAGGAAAAAAGAATGAAGGAAGGAGGGAGGGAAGGAAAGAATACAGGAAGAAAGAGAGAAAAAAAATAAGAGAAAGGACAGGAAAAGATTTGTTTCCCCAATTTGAAAGAGATTGTAAAGCACAAGTTTATTTTGTACTCCCTTCCCCACAATATGCGGCTACTGCCTCAGTTGCCCCATATACCACGAGTATGAACATGTTTCTCTAAAATGAATTAATCCAGATTGAAACTTTTTTTTTATCAGACCAATATCTGTGACTCCACTGACACATCCCATCACCCAAAAAGAATTGGTTTTAGAAAAATATGTTGAAGACAGCTATGGACCATCTAAGGCAGAAAAGCAATTTTTCTTCTGGGCAACTAGAAAAATATATATTGTTCCTCACATATTACCTCTGAAATAATAAGGAAGAAAGGTCTGCAGTGTTTCTGTTCTTAGAATACTACAGTACAGGCAGAATCTGATTCACATTGTGGGTGGATTTCACAAATACAAAATATATGTATATATGCATTATACTTGTGTCAATCTTAAAGATATTGTGTTGGTAAGGACTGCATATGCAGTGTGAATATAGATAAAGTAGAATAATATTAAAATGACTATTGTGGCTTTGGGATTTAAAAGCATTTTTTTTTAAGTCTTAATTTTTAGTGCGTGCATGTGTGCTAAGTCATTTCAATTGTGTCCAGCTCTTTGTGACCCCATGGACTGTGTAGCCCACCAGGTTCCTCTGTCCATGGGATTCTCCAGGCAAGAATACAGGAGTGGATTGCCATGTCCTCCTCCAGGGGATCTTCCCGATCCAGGGATTGAAACTACAACTCTTATGTCTCCTGTATTGCAAATCATCACACACAAAAAACAACAAATTCAGTCCATTTTGGTAAAAAACAAACAAACAAAAAAATCACTGGCTTTTCCTGATTTATATGTTCCATTAAAAATATCATATTTATACACATAATTATTTTGCTCTTACAATTATCTAGATTAACTAGCTAAATGACTTAAATACACAAGGTTAAAGACAACTTTCTATCTTGTGTCTCTTACCTCTATCAAAATAACTTCAGTATTATTTTTTACAACAAAAGAACTGAAAACTATGTCTTATTATTTAGGTTTTATTAAGGCTTTCCTATCTTTAGAACACCTCAACCAATAAAGTCCATCTGGCAAATGAAGATTACTTAGTTTATAAATTGGTCCATCTAGTTCATGGTTGTTGGTTTGTTTTCCTTAAGTAAAAAGCTGTGTTCTTTAACTTAAAACTTGGTTAAATATACAAAAATGTGACTAACATATTCTCGGGCTCACCTAATACTTCAAGTTGCAACTTTATTTTTGAGAACTAATTTGATTGTTGCTAAAGATTGATAGAGGTTATTAGAGAAGGGGAAAAACATATAAGTCCCTATACAATAAGAAACTGTTGTTAAGTAGAGGTAAGACAGATCATCGATTAGTCATGTACTTATACAAAAATTTCTATTGACTTATAACACATGGAAAAATATAATATAGTGGTTCTCACAACAATTTGCTAACACTACCTGTGAAGAAATATATTGAATGAAGAGATTGCAAATTCCAATGTTGTGAAATGGCTTCTGTTGTAACACTTATAAATAAGGAGGCTAAAGACAGGCAATTAACTTCTTATTTCCATTCCCCTTAACCAGGTTTAGCTTATTTCTCCTACCATGGTATAAAATATTCAAGATGCTTTTAAAAGACAATGAGGAAAGAAAAAAGTTTTTAATGCTTAAATGTCAGACTGAGTCCCAGTTTTCTTGATAATAAAGCAAAGGGCAGAGGTATTTCAGACGATGCACATTAGCAACAAAATGTGAATTTTAGTTTTAATATGGCCCTTTCGAACTTAAAATTTATTTTTAAAAAATCCTCATGACTGTATTCATTTTAGATTTTGTGTCTGAGTGTGTGTGTGCGTGTGTGTGTGTGTGTGTGAAATAGATGGACACTCTATGATTTGGAGTTTAACACTGATGTTACTTTGGGTATAGTGTGAAGCCATACTAAAAACCCCTTGGCTTAGAACCAAGAGTTATCATTTCTAGTCACAGCTCTGTCTTTACATATATAACCCTGGAATAATCATGTCTTTCTCCTATCGTTGTATCCCTCATCCACAAAGTGAGGATGTGGTTGATTTTAAGGTGTGTTTTATTCCTTTTAGTAAATTCCCTTTAGAAAATGAAGTCTCATAAGAGAAAATAAGCAATATTGAAAGCAGAACTTTTTGGAAACAGTTTAAAAGTAACTTGTCTAAAGTCACTTTCAGTTGGAGTCAATACATTGATGGACAGAATATCAGTGAAGACAAGATAAAGATGTTAGGCAAAGTTTTCCAGTGGAAGAGATCACTTTCTATTCTTTTAAAGACTAGGAAACATATGAAAATTAATGTCTAACCATGCAGCTTTGTTAAAGGAAGGAAAATGGGTTACCCAAAAATAGTACTTGAGTAGGATTGCTTATACTTAATAAGTTAAGGATATAGTGATGAGCTTAGTTCCAGAGCTCAGAATATATATTTTATTTGGGAAAATGTGAAACACACACATAAATTATTTTTACATAGGATACACTCTGTCAGAAAAAGTTCTTTGAATGTTACAGAGAATTTCCACCACATGTCCTCTGAACCTGGTCACTGGAAAAGCTTCCTTTCTATGATTTAATCTACTCCAGTCACAAAGACATTCTTAAGTTTGGAGAAGCTTTAGGCCTGTGCAAAAAAATCACAAAGGGTGTTACTCTGCACTATTATTCTTTTTATTCATTTCCTCCCTTGATCTACTTAACAACTTCCTGTGACAAAGCAGGATATTTTTATTGTGCAAATTTTATAATTGATGGATATGACTTTTGGAGAAATGACCTGGCTAAGCAACAACAAAGGAATATCAAATCTAGGTCTAGGACTCTTTCTATGAAGTCAATGGAACTAAATATTGTGCACGTTACAATCATCCAGAGAGATGTTAAAAGTTTCGATTTTGAACTTCTTTATAAGTCTAGGAATGGGTCCAGAAACAGCACTCCATGTAGCTCTAAAGCAAGGCTCAGTTTTGAAAAAACACTCTCTCACACACACATACATTATCACAGACTAGCAAACAACTGTAGCTCCAGCCATTATATTCTTGACACAGGGCTTAACTATTTAATAGTAAAGGGTGTTCCCCAGAAAAAGGTCAAGATTTTAGTTCAAATCCATTATGTTTCATGGAATTAATATGGTATTAAGGCAGATGCTTAAAATAATCTTCTATAGCATGTTTCCTAGTTTGCATCGTAAGATAATTCTCCTGGGCATGGAATTCTATCAGTAACACTTGTATGACAATCACTTGAATTCATTAATACTATTTCTCAATTTATTTGAACATATTAATTAGAACAAAGCCCACACCATGAGTTGAACCCCTGATCTATATGCACAGTTTAATAATCATTGTACCATAGTGATTAGAATGATTATGGGGAGAGTGTGAAAAATTCATTTGCTGCAGCTAAGCCAACAACTTTGAATTTGTGTTGAAAAACAATTACTGAGCTTAATTAGGAGCATGTAATGATGACAGCAGTTATTTTAGTGATTGATTTCAAAATTAAAGAGAGCTGGCAAACTAAGTGTGGTATATCCTTTGCATTGAAAAACAAGGGAACACAAAGGTTCAAAGACCATGCCCTGTAAACAAATTATGAAAGACAGTATTATAGCACTGGCAAGGAGAATATTCAAGGCTTCAGATAGGCCTAAAAAAATAATAGTTTTCTCCATTTTCTTCTTCTAATACTGACAACTAGAAACCAAATAAATTTCTCGAGGAAAAAAAATTGGCAGATAATTCAAGCAAATGAAATGTACTGTTTTTGACTGTTGTCTTTCAGCTTCTTTTTATTAAAAAGAAGTTGAGGGGCACAAGAATTGGCTAAGTAATTTAAAAGTGACAGAGTTGGTTCAAGTCCTCTGGATGATTTGATATCCATCATTTCTCATTTTTAACAGGGTGGAAATTTCTCTTCTACTGTTGTAGATATTTGCCAGACTTTTTCCATGGGATGTTTCAGAATTCTAAAAAAGTCAATGACATTTCAAATAATTCTATAAAATGTCATTCCTTTCTTACAATTAGCTACCCGCACAAAACTATTTTTAATGTGACCTTAGCATGAAGGGAAGAATCTGCAGAGCTCACATAAACCCTAAAAAAACAATATTTACAAACTGTCTTTATTTCACAGGAAGAGGCCATTCACTTGTTTTTCTGACTGATTATCTTAACTCAATATTTTAAAATATATCTCTTTTCTTAAATGGTTTATATTACTACTCAAAGCTAGTGCCCTAGAAACGTATATGTTTGAATATGTAATATTCTTATTTCAAAACGTCTATTTTGTTGGAAGTAATGGGTTGCAAGCTGGGGGAAGTGGGTCCATTAAAGATAACAAATGGGTATTCATTCATCTTAAAATGATAAAATGTAATTTCTAAATCATCTAATACTTCTTTGAAAATAAATATAACTGTTAGGATTTTCTGATACTTAATTAATGTTCTAAAAGATTGTTGACTACTAGGTAAGCCGAGCAATTTTTTACAGCCTAAAATGAAAACTTCTCAATCTGCATTTGTTTTGTTAAAGTATAATTTTAGTTTGGCATTTCTAAGTACTGTTGAAATATTTTCAGCATGATTAATTTTCCAAGTAAGAAACTATCAGAGACAATCATGTTCTAAAGTAGGTTATTTTTGTTTTGTTATCAACCTCAAATTGGCATTGTAAAATCTTTGCTGGCTTTCTTTGTGCCATTCTAATATATTCTTCTTGGACTTCATGTCTAAATCATTTTTGACATTCAATTTTGCAGTATCAGTTGTGGGTGTTCAGGTATGGTATATATTATTTCAAAAGTTGTTAAAGGAATAGGATGGCCAGGGTTATTGACTGAATGTCTACTTTTTATTTCTTATGTCAAGAGTTCTGTTGCCTTCCTGTACAGGTTTTGGTGAAAGTTTGTAATTTGTCAAGAGTATTAGTTTTTTCAAATAATCTAGTTATTGATATTATGGAGCTCACGAAGACAATTATCTTCAGTGAAACTGGTAGGATGAGTCCACATGTAACCATGTTTTGTTTTATTTTAACTGTCTCAGGAACTGCAAATGTATGTTGTTTAAACCAACAGTGGTCAACTCTGCTTATTGGAGGCATAATTTGATTTTTTTTTTCTTTGAAGGTGGAAGCAAAATGGCGCAGATATTGATTTTACCATGAGCTATCACTACAGGTTGGATGGAGGCAGTTTGGCAATCAGCAGCCCTCGCACAGATCAAGATATTGGCACGTACCAGTGCCTGGCCACCAATTCTCTGGGAACAATTCTGAGTCAGAAGGCAAAGCTCCAATTTGCATGTAAGTTTGTGGGAAAAATCTACAATCTTTGTGTTTCTGAAAATATATTCTTATTATAACCATGGTAGAAAAAAGCCAACTTTGCCAATCACATGCTCTTTGAGAGCAAATATGAATTTATAGAGGTAAAAAGTTTTAACAGTGTGCATTTTGTGAATTCAGACTCCTGGGAATAGTTGAATCTGTTTCAAGGAAAAAAGCAGGAAATATCAGTATTATTGTAGTTTGTGAATTATATTTAGAAACATCTCTGAAAGTTCTAAATATACATATTCAGATAAAGACTATATATATATATATACATATATATATATATATCTCCCTTTTCCTTCTTCTTTTACATTGGACATTAATGTGAAGGGCACAAGAATAAAAGAAAGCAAAGATGTTTTGGGGGGGGAGGCAAGCATTCTCCCAGGAAAAGTGATCATGCATCTACAGTTTGATGCAGGTGGAAATAAAGTGGTTGCCAAAGGCAGACTTTATATTAACTGTAACAATGTCCAACTGCGTCACATAAATGTCATCCAAATAATTACCTTGGTGACATTTGGGGACATTAGCAGATGAACAATAGACATACTGCTCCTTATAGTGTTTCCAGGGACTGAAATGTTTCATATTAGATCCAGGGAAAGCCTTGTTTGAAAGTAATTACATTTGTTGATGTGGATGAAGCAGAAGCCTTACATCTTTCCCTTTATACCCCCTCTGCCATGCGACTCCCACTCACGCCCTCCTCAGAGGATGTACCAGGGGCCAAAGAGTGAGAAGCTACTCTTTGGGACCCTGATGAATAGGTCTATGCTTCTGTTATTTTGAAAAAGTAACTATTTTGAAATTTACAGAATAAAATATACATCCAAAGCCCACCTTGTAGAGCTGTTGCATGGAGGACCCCTTCCAGGGCCGAAACTGGGCTCTTGTCTAACACTCGGAAATGAACTGTCTGAGGAGACACATGTGCTGACAAAGCAAGAGATTTCATTGGGAAAGGGTGACTGGGCAGAAAGCAGGAGGGTAAGGGAACCCAGGAGAACTGCTCTGCCACATGGCTTGTAGTCTCGGGTTTTATGGTGATGGGATTAGTTTCCAGGTTGTCTTTAGCCAGTCATTCTAACTCAAGAGTCCTTCCTGGTGGTGCACGCCTTGTTCAGCCAAGATGAATGCCAGAGAGAAGGATTCTGGGAGGTGGTCGGACATGTGGTGTCTCATTTTGACCTTTCCCGAACTCTTCCAGTTGGTGGAGGCTTATTAGTTCCGTGTTCCTTACCAGGACCTCTTGTCATAAAACAACTCATGCAAATGGTTACTACGGTGTCTGGCCAGGGTGGGTGGTTTCAATCAGTGTGCTTCCCCTAACAGAACTACTTTAGTCATCAGTAGATATATAAATTTGGAGTAGGAAATGGCAACCCATTCCAGTATTCTTTCCTAGGAGAGCCCATGGACAGAGGAGTCTAGCAGCCTACACTCCATGGTGTCACAAGAGTCAGACACAAGTTAGCAACTAAACTACCACCACTGCCACCAGATATATAAATTAGTAATTAGGTCTGTTTCTCATTGCAAGTCTTGTGTTCCAAAGATACCTTGCTCCACACAAAGCTCCCCTATGTTAACCATTCTGCGAATGGCCTTGTTTCTGAATGTGTATATAAATACACTCAGAAATAAACACATATGTATATAAGTATGTGTATATATATGTGTGTGTGATTATAAATATACACACATGTACATATATGTATGTGGTCCTCTATATACACACATACACACATGTATACATATACAGAAGCATTGCTAAGTATATCTGAATGTATTTATCTTCAGAAAACAAAGGATAATGCAAAATTTTACAGGGCTAAGTGGAATATAAACAAATGCTGGTGGCTGTTCCCAACCTAGGGATCGAACTCAGGTCTCCTGCATTGCAGGTGGATTCTTTACTGTCTGAACCACCAGGGAAGCCCCATTTGAAACTTAGGGTAAAGATAATCACAATACTTGATTTCTACATTTCAGCTAAGACCATCATTTGGAAAAACAATAGTGAGCAAAATATTAATGAAGACTTATTTTACAGAAGTAAACAGTTGCCCCACAGACTTTGAATGACTCTGCCAAAATAATATTTTTTTTTCACTTGAATAGAAGATGATCCTTGGAGATATACATGGTCAGACTGCATAAAAATAAATTTAACAAATTGGATTTTCTGTAAATAAAATCCCATAGAGTATATTTATTTGCTAAACTGGGTATTTCTCCAGAGTTATGGATTCTATCCTTTCTTGAAAATAACTGAATACCTATGAAGAAAGTTAATGCACTGTGCTTGATATGGCCATGTATTTGCTTCTCTTTGCTTCCCTTTTTAAACGAAAAATTTGTATTTTTAATTTCCAAATTATTTTTTTTACTTTTTTTTCTGCTTTAAAAGTGTGTAACTAAAAGTTTTTGTAAGTTAAAACATAAATTCTATTTGATAAAAAAAGAAAAAGAAAAATATTTAAAATTAAGAAAAAAAATGTATGCTTTCATTTGGATGAATGAGGAAAGTCAGCTCTTCTATCTTTGCTGACTTTCCTGTCTCTTCATAAAGTTTTCTTTTTTGGGAGTTGAAAGTATATGACTGTTGTTCCCTAAAAGTATTTCTATTACTATTCATGCAGAAAGAAGGTCTACATCCATTAGCTGATATTTCTCCTGCAGACTTAAAGAGTCTTAGGTTCCGAGCCTTAAAGTTGAAAAAACAAAAAACAAACAAACAAGAAAGAGTCAGATTATTATGCTTTTTCTGTCTAGTAACTATAACAGTGTCTTGCCTGAAATGTTTCCTGTTGTTTCCATGGAGAGATTTGGTTGAGTTTATCTCTGCTGACTTGAATCAACCCTAAAAATAACCAACACTTCTTAATCACCTATAAAGTATATCCTTTCCTTTCCTAGATCTCATAAGTAGTCTTGCCAGCTTACTTAAGTCAGTTGTTCATTCCAAGTAGTAAAGAATTTATTTTAAAAATGTGAAAAAGACCACTTCTAGCTTTGTCACTGCTATTACACAACTCTGAATGGTCTATTTTGAACAAATGTGCATAAAGATCTTAAAAATGAATCAAAAGGTGTTAATAACTTACAGCCCAGAAGACTCCATTTACAAATTCTTTCTTCTAATCTCATTTAAGGTACACAGGATATTAGTTTTGCAAAATAGATTTTCTGAAATTTCACCCAAAGAGATTACATTTATATCCACATTGAAATCTGCACATAACCTTAGAAATAAGGTTACTTTTCAAAAAAGAGAGTAGGGGAGAGAGAGAGAGACAGAGACAATGAAGATACAGAGAAAGGAGTGGCAGAAAGCAGAAGAGAGAACTAAATAGAAGGGAACTATCCAATCAAAAATTTGTTTTTCTGTGAAAGCATCTTAAACATCACTAATCAGTATGTAAATATAAATCAAACACAGCTTCATACTCATTACAGTGGCTATTACCAAAAAAAAAGCAAAACAAATAAACAACAACAACAAAAATATCCACAGAGAATAACAAGTGTTGGCAAAGGTGTTAAAAAATTGAAACCCTTCTGCATTACTGATGGGTATGTAAAATCGTATAGCTACTATGGCAGACAGCATGACAGTTCCTTAAAAAATTAAACATAGACTTATCACAACACAGTAATACCACCTCTAGCCATACCTTCAACTTAATCTGAGTTGTCATCACCATCTTCATAAATTTTCAACATTGCCTATTTTACTAGAAAGGCTTTTGTACCTTTCTTAACATCATAACAATGGTGGTCACATGCTAAAATTTTTGATACAAACAGACCTGAGTTCAAATTCTATCTCTGTAAAATATCCTGCAGCAGGAAATTAGGCCATCTTTTAACAATATCAGTGGAAACAGTGTCACGCTTTATTTTTTGGGGCTCCAAAATCACTGCAGATGGTGATTGCAGCCATTGCAGTATCCAAAGGACAGTGACAGGGATTAACTGAGTAATGATGTGAAACCCCTGGTCCCTTATAGGCACTCAGGAAATGGTAACTCTAATTCTTCTTTTGATATTTTCATTTCCTCTCCCAAATAGGCCAAACATCCATATATTTCAAACTGCTACAGTTACTCATAGAAAAATCTAGTTTACATTTCAAAACTTCCTCCAGACCAGTTGTTCTCTTGTTTTCAAAGCTTTTAAGTGTTTGACATATATTACCTTTCTTGAACTGTGGAATAACCATAAGAGGATGATTCTCATTCCCATTTTATAGATTAGAAGCCTGAGGCTCACTGAGATTGGGACTTTTTAGGAAGTATATTGTTAGAGAATCAATTGTAACTTTAGTAAAAAAAAGTTCAGATTCTACAGCAGAAACCAATACAACATTGTAAAACAGTCATATTCCATTAAAAAAATAAACAAAAATTCAGATTCTAAAACTCATGTCTTTTGTATTAAGGTGTTCAGTCCTATTCAAACAGTGCTCACATCGATCAAGTGGGCTTTCTTTCTTTCTTTAATAGACCTTTGACATAATCACCGTTGAAATAATAAGCCATTTCTGAAGGACAGTAACCTTCACATAGGCTGGTGGTAGATCCCATTGGTGCTGGTTCAAACCCCCTTTACTGGACAAAGAACCCAGCTGTTAATGCCCACAGCTACCCTTTTCTTCAACCCATGCCCTAGAGCTCCCTATGGGATCAGGCTGGAGCTAAACAACAGCTGAGACCCCTTTTGGCTTATTAGCCCCTTCCTATGCCCTATCCAGTTCCCATCCCTCCATTTCTCCTTCAAGTGTTTCCTCAATAAATCAATGTAGTTGAACCTCTGTGTTAGGCTTTGCTTCTAAGGAAACCACAGTAAGACAGATACTAAACATATAAGATATTTGATCTTACTGACAGCCAAATTGGGTTCAGAATCTCTAATCATAAGAATTTCCATAGGTAAGAGCAAAACTCTACATCAAAATAAAATTG